AAAATCTATAGTATATTATGAGAAACATTTTAGATATCAATTGATTATCATATTTCCCTTTTGTTTAGTGTGACCGCTCTGTTGGTAGGAGAGAAACTGCCACCAGAGGCTGAAATTGATGTAAGTGATCTTTTTGTCTTCGTAGTAATTTGGATTAACCAGATATGAGTGTTTAACTTACCGTTTGTTTAATGCTTCTCACAGAATGACCCTTTCAAATTGAAGACCGGAGGAGTTATTGACATGAAGAAAGTCAAAGACAGGAATAGGGACATGTAAGTAAATCTCTGAGCGCTTAAGTTATTTGCATGCAGTGTTATTAACACATTGTGTATGTACTAGTATGTCATTACATAACGAAAAATGTGTGTCATCACGTGTGACACTGATTTGACCCAAGATGACCTCTGTTTCACATGCAGGACAGAAGAAGAGACTGACCTCAACCTGGGCACCTCCTTTTCTGCTGAAACTAACAGACGAGACGAGGATGCGGACATGTATGTCTGCTTGTTTCACGCTGCAATAGTTATAGCATATAACACATGGATACTCACACACGGTGTTTCATAGAAATATTTTTCATGAATCTATCCTCGCAGGATGAAATACATTGAGACAGAGCTGAAGAAGAAGAAGGGGTTGGTGGAAGCAGAGGAACAGAAAGTTAAGGTGAAGAATGCAGAGGACCACCTGTATGAGCTGCCCGAGAGCATCCGTGTCAATTCTGCCAAGAAGACAGAGGAGATGTTGTCCAATCAGATGCTGAGTGGGATTCCCGAAGTTGACCTTGGCATTGAGTATGTATAAAATATTCTCAAAATGAGCCTGTGTTGATAATATTTTTTAGCGATTGAGTAGTTTTAAACTATTAAATTATGCGCCAACCTTCTTGATAATTAACAGGTTTATTTTCTTTTAAAAATAAGTCAAAATTCTCTCAGCTTCTTAAGTGTGAATATGTTCTGGGTTATTTAATCCTCTCTGACAGTAAACTGAATGTCTTGTGTATAGACCAAACAACCAATTGATTAATCGAGAATATAATCAAAAGATTAATCGACAATGGTAATAGTCTTTCATTGGCAGCCCTATTGTCTTTTTTAAATCTGTGAGAAACGCATTCTGCATTGAGACTAGCTGACAGAAAAGGTGCAAGTGTGTTACTGACTGTGTTGGGGTAGTTACTCAAAAAAGGTAATGGATTACACATTAGTAGTACTTTACTAGATTACTCACTGCTGAAAGTAACTAGTGACACTACTGGTTACATTACTTTTGGATTACTGCATAACATCACCTGCGATGCACAATAACTGCCAAATAACAAGTTACACCTCATATATGCCCAGATCAACACAAATCCTTACCTTACAGTTCAAAAACGTGTAATGGTAATTTGAACTGTGCAGTTAACAGACCAAAGCCACACAACAAACTTACTGTAGCTCACTTGCTGAACTATGGCTTTAAAGTAGATTATTCCCTCTTACTGGACCTGCTTATCAAAGAAGTGGTTATACCTGATGATTCTGTCAAATCTTTTGTCAGACAACCTGTTCCTCATCGGAGTCAGAACAAGACTGCCCAGGCTATAGAGCCTCACCACAGGTGTGCTAGAGGGTATCGATGTACTTTCATGAAACTAAAACAATACATCGGTCCCTCGAAAGATTTCTTTAGCAGCTCTGCCATTTCTGCATCCTCATGAATTGCCGCTCAAAAGTGAGGTCAGAAAAGTGTCATGCATAAAAAGGGACGTTTGATTTATTTTTCTCTCCTCCCGTTTCGCGGATAGTTCAAGAACCAGTACGCAAGTAACGCAACGATTTTGTTATTAGTAACTGTAATGTGATTACTGAAGTTATCAACGGTAATGCGTTACATTACTGCGTTACAGACAAAAGTAATTTGATTACAGTAACGCTTTACCCCCAACACTGGTTACTGATTGCCCGTTTCTGTGATTCTCTTTCCCCAGTGCAAAGATAAAGAACATTATCTTCACAGAGGAGGCAAAAGCCAAGCTTCTGGCAGAACAGAGGAACAAGAAAAAAGACAACGGCACATCATTTGTACCCACCAACATTGCTGTCAACTACGTCCAACACAACCGCTGTGAGTTCTGCCAGTCTGTGAACATTGGGGTTGAAATAGTGAGAGGATACCAGAAGGTAATGAGAGGTGAAACGGTTGGTTAAATATGTGTATTCGCCTTTTCTTTTCCCCAGTCTATCACGAGGATGTGAATGCACCACAGAGGCACCACAGACACAGAGAAGAGCCCAAAGCAAGGCCACTCCGTGTGGGAGACACTGAGAAACCAGGTCCAGAAAGTAAGACTCCACACAGCCACACACCGCTCCTTATTGTATAGCAGTTCGGTAACACTAGACTGTAGGAATCTGTTATAATCTGTTTGAGCACACCGTAACAGGGAAACGTGAAACTGTGCTTTTTCCTATGAACTGGTTTGTACAAATAAAACATATAATCTGATTCATACGTTCTTCTTGTTACTCCACAGCGTCGTCACCACCCAACTACCGCAAACGTCCAAACAACGAAAAGGCCACGGATGACTACCATTATGAGAAGTTCAAGAAGATGAATAGACGATATTGACCTGGGTGTTTATTTTTTATTTTTACAGAATACTTAAGTGGATGGCACCAAATTAAGTGAAGCCTCCAAATGAGTCATGAAAATAAGAGGACTCCCAAGATAGTAGTGTACTTTGTATAGATTGTAAATAGCTCCCAGTAGTATACTGTACATTCGCTTGTTATGTAAAAGGGGAACTCTATATCCCTGAAGAAATTGTGTGGCTCAGGACTGTCTGATAATCAAGGAATTGGTCCAATAAGACCAGAAGCTGTAAAGGCATAAAGGAATAACATGAGACGTGTTGGACTGAGTGGTACACCTGCTCTGGTTTGTGAGGGATGTTTTTTTTAAGCCCAATGCTATGTCTTGACTTTTTTGTTGTAGAGTTGTTTTTAGGACTCGATTAAAAGACAAACACAAAAACGTCCACAAGCGTTGAGTTGTTCTTTAATGTGACCAGTGCTCAGAGTAAGAAAAAATGAAACATTATAAAATCAGAAGGTACAAAATAAATGTGAGAACTAACATTGGATACATAAGCCAACATAAAAATATAAAATATGTACTGGTATTTAAATGCTGCAAATATGCACTAAAATTCATAAGTTGTCTGCATTTATTTATACTTCCTTCAGTATTGTATATACAGTATGAGCCAGTCTATGCATTTTAATATTAATTTTGAAAAGTTACTAAAACTGAGGGGAATGTTACATCTGATACATTTGACAGTCCATCAGTCTTTTGATTCTGGTTCTTCAGGTATATTTTGTTTGGTACAGTTTCTTTATTTTACTTATTTCTAGTAATACCGCTATACAAAAGATATCAAATACAAAAGAAATTGACCAGAACACATTACAGTGGCAGACATAATCAGACACTAGTTCACGATGTGTAACGGAAACTAAATGAGCCAAACCAAACTAAGCACAAGTGTTAAAATCAGTGTCCTCATGGTTTCTCTATAGAGGATGTCCCGTGTCCGTTAAGGTGGTGTTGGAGGTTTGTCTCCTGTGAAGAAGGCCCCTCCACGTCCTCTCGCTCTCCCTGGGTAGAGCTGCAGCTACTGCCAGGGGAGGCCCAGCTGTCTCGTCGGCGGTAGGCCTCACACAGTGGCAGATCAGTGCTGTCCCACTGACTGTAGCTTTGCGGAGCGGAAACCAGTAGGAGGCAAAGAATCAGCGCAGCACAGAAAGAGAGGAGCAGACGAGAGCGGCAGGTCAGAATAAGCACATTCATACACAGACGTGCACATGAGGGCACACATACAATGGAAGCATGGAGGTTATGTAGAAGCACTGGAAACTGGATCCATGCATAACACTGTTTAGTTTAGTTTTAGTCTACAACTGTAATCAGAGGTGAGGCTTGTTAACTGTTTGTTTTTAAGTTCAGCAAAAAGGTGTGATTAGTTGCTGAAGGAGGAGAAAGCAGAGCGAGTGCTGCGAGGTAAAGGAAGGCCCACACCCAGCTTGCTCCAACAGGACCGATACTTACTCACAGACAAAACAAACAAGACAAACTACTACAGTGTTTTGTCTCTACTTTATTTCTTAATCATTCTGGATCTACTGGAACAGCTGGCACAAACTTGTACACATGTAAAACCACATCACGTGTGCTAGAAAGACATGTGCAGGGTTACAGCTTGAGTCACGTGTGTTCGTAAGGACGGAATCAGTTAAAAAATAACCTAATTGCTTTGACAGAAAACGTCTACTTGAGAAACTCTTGAGTAGCTTCTGATTTGACCTCGAATAAAGAACAAACAGTTGTCCTGATTTGACAGTGTATACCAAACATTCATCCATAGTTCATCCTTAAAATCTACCATATTAGGTCATCACCATTACATTTATGAGTTAAACATTACACATAAATAATCTTAAATGAATTACATATTTTAAAATCTATATTATTTTATAGTTTTAGTTCTTTCAAAGTGTAATTCTTCTAAAGGGAGTTGACTTTCCTCACAAAGCTCTGTGTTGCTACACCCAGAAGCCTTTCACAACCATCCATAGATAAAACACTAAGTGTTTTAGATGCATGGATTTTAATGAACTCTGATCATAACTTTGAATTAAAACATGTTAGTTGTAAATGAACCAGGAGGAAAGGCCTTGTTATTTACGTACCACTAAAACATGCTCCTGTGTGCCCTGACAGTATTTGTTAAAACCCTTCTCAAGCCTTTTGGGACGCTGCAGACCAGGAAACTGAAAGTCTGATCACCATTTAGAAATAAACCCAGCTGTCCTGAATTATATGAATCCTTGTCTCAACAAAAAATAACAACAATTCTGGATGTCAAACAGCATCGAACGGCCAAAAACACACGTTAAACTGTCGCAGTTCAAGAGCTGGAACATTGATGCTTCCTATATTCAGTTGCATACCCCTTTAATGCTGAAGTCCTCTCTAAATTACGACACGTCATAGAGCAGGAAAACAAATAAAAATGTAAAAGTGACATGAGCTGTATCACAACAACCCTCTGCAATGATTTGTGTTGATGAATGGTGCCGTTTGGATGTGACGAAGAGATAATTCAACCCGAAAAAGTTTCATGTTTAGGTGTTGGGTCTCTGCAGAGAATGGTAAAAGTGAGACGACGGTACACTGTGCTGGTCATGGGACAACAGTGGGACAGTGGGATGGGGGCACGTATGAGCCTACTTGTACCTGGAGGAGTAATATTCTTCCTCTAGCTCATACAGGTCGATGGCGATCTCATCACGGAGCGAGGTGAGCTTCTTGTCACACTCGTCCTGCAGCAAGCGGAGCTGCTGGTTTTGGAGGGTGATGGCGTCGTTCACAGAGGGAAAGTCGTTCAGTATCAGGAACTGCTTCAGATCGGACACCAGCTTCATCAGGGACTCACCAGCTCGTACCTGATACAACAACACAGAAGAGGGGTTTGAAAATCAATCACTATGTTTTTTTCTGTATGTGGACTGCTAAATCCTACAGGTCCATAAACAGTCACAGTGATTGTGATGCATTTCACTTTATATTCAAGCTCTGAACCCCACAGTCCAACCAGTTGGTCAGCAAGTACAAATGAATACTGCGCAGTCACACTTAACTCAAACCAAGATAACTTCATTTTATAATCTAGTGGAGGACTGGGGTGAAATGTTGGCTGTGAGGAATGTGGTTCTTTCTTCTGAATGTATTTACTTCAGAAAGTAGCAAGACAGTAGAATCAGTGTATGCCTACACGTTTACTGTGATTTCTTTAAAGTAACGTGATAATGTAAAATTCCACTCAAGGCTAAGTTACGCTGGTTTGAGAGCAGCCTGTCCTCCTCCTCCTCCTCTCATCTTCCCCTCTCCTAACTAAATACACTTCAACACTTCAGCTCACACCTCAGTATGTTGTATGTTCTGGACAACTGTGCTTACACTTACAATGTTGGCTGCTCTTACGTGCATCTCATAATGGTCCTGCTCTGCTTGAGTTGCTCGGCCACCTGTGTCTCATCCTCTATCTGGAGAAAGCAAACAGTGTGAGAATAATACATGCTTTATACTCGTATGTTTGGAGGGCAAAGTTGAGAGAGAGAAAGAGAGAGGAAAGGACAGGAAATTATGCCAACAAGTCCTGTATTTAACTAGTTCCATCTTATCTAACCAGTAAGAAGCATTTACGTTATGCTGTAATATTACTTGACTTTCCTGCTTTCCCACAGAAGTAACAAACATAACACATGGGAAGGAGCCGCGAAAGTGGTAGAACAACTGAGAAACGACGAGAGGGCGGTCTATCTAACGTACCTTTGCTGTTTTGATAATTTCTGTGAAATTGTCCAGGATGGACCTGATGTCATCTTTCAGTCTCTTGTTGTAGTTCTGCAGCAGCGTCTCTTTGCTTTGAGGGAGCACTCTCTGAGTAGCCATCGTGCTCAGGAAAAGGACAACACAGGGTGCGTTACCTGTTCACACTGAGTTAAAACACAGAAGTCTATTCAGCTGATGAGGTTTACCAAAGCAGAAGAATACGTTATGTCACGAGCGTGCAAATGAGTTAACTTAGCTAACAATGAAACCGCGCGTGATTTTCATAACAGAAAAGGGAAGCCAAAAACGTGCACCTATGTGTTTTCATATCTGTACTACTGCATAAGTATATATTATTACAGATTCTCTAGTGATTATCACTTACTTTGTCTTACCGCATACTTCGTAAACAACGTTACTGTATAAACGATATCCACTAATGCCTTTGCGCTTCTTCTTCTTCTTCTTCTTGTTTAATGGCGGATAACATCCGGTGTGTCTGGATATTACCGCCCTCCAGCGGAGTGTCCACACTGCAAAACGGTGAGGCACATAAAGGTCGTGTTTATATTTAGTATGGTTTTATCCTTATCCTCTTTAATACCTTTTTGTGAGATATATAGAAATCATATATAGAAGTCATTTTTAGATATAGTTACAATTTTTATCTCATTGTAGCATAAACCAAAGCACAAACTACTTAAATAGTATGAAACGTATTATCAGTTTAAGTTCTCATTATGTAAGAAAATGCCCTGTTAATGCCTTATATTACAATATTTGATCATTATTCTTGATTGCATTAACATATAAGCAGCTTTGAAGTGTGTAGTCGGTTGAAATGAAGCTATTAACAACTGAATAAACATGCTTTATTATGTATGTAAAATCTAAATCTCATCGCAAAGCGTTGTAAATATCTTTCAGAAACACGTAGTGGAGTGAAAAGTAGTGGCAAAGTTAATGGAAAAGTTCCTCAAACTGTAAAATAGGGGAGACCAGGTATGGTTGTAACATGGGGAGAGTTGTAACACCAATTCCAGATAAGATAGGAGTTAAGTGATCATACCAGTATTTACCTACTTCCTCCGCAATCAGGCATTCCAGTGCGCAAGAGAAAGTCCCGGTACGCCAAAGAGTAAAATATAGAAATGCTTGTTCTGTGTACCGATGAGTACCGGCCCACTTCAAGCACTGACTGTGACTCTGATTAAGAATATACACACATTGACACAGACACACACCTCTTTTAGTTAGACCTAATTAGGTACATTTTAGTAGTATTTATTGTTAAGTAAGTTTATTCTATAAGCTAGATACATTTACATACAAATACATGTGCGTGAGTCATCAGACATAATCTGTTACAGTGAGAGAGAAACGTTCTTTTATTTCACTGTAATTGTTTTTGAAGCATATCATATAGTGTGACATCCATTTTTGCTTCTTTTGTCTTTGTTAAACTTACCACAGCGTGTGTTACAACTTACCCCGGTAGTGGGGTAGGTTGTAACCAGGGAACACATTGCATTTGACATCAACTCACGAGGTCTGTGATATTCTTGTAGATGATTAAATTGGTGCCATTTGTAGTGAACAAATGTGGGTACTTTTTATAAAAGTTTGAGAACTCTAGCTACAAAATTCAGTGAGTTAGCAAAAAGTGTTACAACCATACCCGGTCTCCCCTACAGTACTTCCACAACAATATTTCAGTGATGCTAAATAACTGCAAATGGTGCAAAATTAGATTTAAATTTATTTAATAGTTTTTTTTATGACTTACAACAGAGTTTTCAAAGGCAGAGTGTGCAGCATAAGTATTTCGAGTGCTTTTTTGTCCAACATCATCAGTCCTCCAAAGAATTTCTATACAACACTGGTGGAAATACATTTTACAGCTGTGTTACAATCAAAACACATTCTTAGGGAATCTTGACTCTGTGTCAGTGACTAAGTGCAACCTTCATTTATACAAGTTGGGTGAGAAAAGTGAGCATTTATTTATATATATAATATATATATATATATATATATATAAAAAACAAGAACAGAAAGATGAGGATTTTACATTGCAACAGAGGAATACATGAATTAAACTTTGGATTGCAACAGGTTGGATCCCCATTCTTAAAAGTGCCATGGTGGGAACCACAAAGTGTTCCATGACAAGCACGACGACAATAAAATATTCCCTAATGGCGATGGAAATAAACTCAAAAGGAATGTCATCAGTCAGTCAACATTCAAGATCTCACTTTCAAGATAGTACGATTACAATCCCTGACTGGAACTGCGAAGCATAAGTGTTGTAGACATTTGTGTGACTGCAGGAAGGCATTATTTTAAAAGTTGCAGTTAAGGTTTTCACTTTAGTTATTTGTAAGTGTGAGTCACAGTTAGTACACATTTGGAGTTCATAGAGATGTCTACGATATAGGTGCATTACAGAGCTGAATGAACATCTTGATGCATCAGAGTGCAGACACCAAAAGGAAAATTGTACATGATTGTACACAAGTATTTGGTGGTTAATGTAAGTGCACCAAAATGATGTTAATGCAGCAGTTTCTTTTTAGGAGGGTACAAAAGGCAAAAGTGATTTATGCTGTTTGATGTGGTACTGTAGCAGAGGACTACAGCGAGAGTGTAAGGCTTCTGAGATATCTTGTGAAGTATGGAGAAACAGAAAAGTGTCTCTTCTACATTTATATAACATAGGAACTATTATAATGTATTTTCTATGCCTAACATTTATATATGGTTCGTACGTTGCGTTGGAACAAACACTGATATTCTATTTTCATCAGACAGGACAGTGGCCACAAATATAATACACATGACAAAAATGCAAACATTTTCAGAACCAAACAGTTACATTTCATATCAACAAATGTTATCTTTGAAATGTCAATGCATCATTATCCAGCATCAGCTTCAAAACAAACTGTCAAGCATAAAGGACCCAAAACTTTTGACTTTGATTATGTAACTGTAAGGCCGTTTACAAATTTTGGATACAGATAAATTCCTCTGAAACATCTCGTCACAAAAATCACGCAAAAGTGTTGAGAGATTGAGGATGTGTTTCACTTGCTCCTTGTTCTATACAGTGTTTTTTCCTCTTCCACGCTTCTGTGAAGTTATGATCTTGTGATTCAAGCTGAATCTGCCCTTTTTGAGAACTAATACAATGGAGGGATGAGGCGTTATCAGATCATATTTTCACAGCAAAGCTCAAATATACAGAAAACTAAACTGCCACAGCTGCAGACCACCTACAAACTCCCTCAGCGTGTGGTATTGTAGTGCTGACACAAAAAGAAACTGAGGTAGGCAAGAAAACAATCAAATGCTTGACCACCATATTGTCTTTGTGTAGATGTACGTACCAAAAAGATTAACGACGATTCAAAAGGATGTGACAATAAAAAGCGACTAGCAGTAGGAGAATGTTGTCAGTGTTCTTACTCTAATGGATTCATTCAAGTGTAAAGATGATGCGCTATCAGAACTAATTGGAGCCAGTTAAGAATGAGATCCATGCAGGCCTGCAGTCCAGCTGCGGCGCTGGTGACAGCATGCAGTATGCCTGTTATAGTTTGCATAATTTAGTGTGCGTTCAGGGCTTTTCTTGCGGTGCCTTGAGGTGAAAGGGTGCAGAGACGAAAGGGTCTACAGCGCTCACTTCTGGGGTCCAGGAGTGAAGAGGTCCAACAGGGACTGATGCCACAGAGGCTTGCTGGTCACATTAGACACTACTCTGTGAGATGCTACTGGCTGCTGGGGCACGGGTCCCTCAAAGTGTCGGGAATATTTGGCCAGAGCTTGGGGACGGAACGGTTGTTGGGCAACTTGACCCAACGCACCTTGGTCGGAGGTTACAGCATGAACCCCAGCTGCGTGAGGAAATGAGGTCTTGGGCTGAGCTCCTGCAGCCTCCTTCCTTTTTCCAAAGGGAGCCTGAGAGAATACATCGAGCTGCTGCTGAGCTGAAAGGAGAGCATGCGGAAATGGAGCATTTGCAAACACGTCGCCCACGTCTTCTTGCCCAATCCGAAAAGGGGCTTTTGCGAAAACATCCACAGCAACTTCTGCCCCCTTCGCTGGCTCATGTACATGCTGATGTACATACTGGGAATGATTGTGAGCAAAGGTGCTTGGAGTAAGTTGATGGAAGGTAGTAGATGGTTGTGTTGGTGCTGCGCTGGAGTGTGGTGATGAGTGGAGGGCTAACTGAGGTCCTTGTTCTTCTTCATCCTCAGAGTCCAGCAGCAGAGGTCTGGAGCCGCTGCAGTCATGGGCATCTACATGACTCTCAATGGCTCCCTCATCCTGCTGCTCTACCGTATGAGCTTCCTTTTCCTCATCTTCGTCGCTGGAGTGCACACACCCCTCGTTTGTTTGAGGATCTCCCATTGGAGGTTCAGACTCTTGTCCCTCAGCAAGCACAGAGTAGCCATTACTCTCCCCTTGCATATCTGTGTTAGAGAGCAGAGATAGAGGAAACCATATCAGAGGCAAACAAAAACATTTGACAGTATAAATATTGTAACATGAAACTTTACCATCTGAGGTCCAGGCGCCCATTTATCTACCAGACCATCAAACCTCAGTCACAAACATGACATACTATATGATCGATGGATCATCTGTAACCACTGAAGAATCAACGATAACGACCCAACAGTGAGAAACCAGCACAAGACTTACAACAATACAGACACATTCTACTCTGAACAAGTCACATAATACAGACAGATGACTAGCCAGCTCTACCGTTACAACATCAAATAACCTTGTTTCCACAAATTAGTTTCAGCAGAGCTGCAGCATCCTCAACCTCCAAAAACAGTGCCTCGTGTTAGGGGAAACAGTCACAGCAGTTATGCTTTTAGTAAGAATTAATTGTGTAGAGGGAGCTCAGAAGGAGTCAGTAGGTCTGTGGAAACAAGGACAAAGAGCCTTCACAGAAAAATTAGAGGTAATTAGGTATAGACAGGTTTGCACAGATGAGCACAGACAGATCAGTCTTACCTCAGCAGAGTAGACAGCAGCTGTTAACTGGCAGTTCTTGGGGAGATGTTAGTTGCAGCCATTAGAGGAAAACAGCAGTGTTTGTTTTGTTTTACATCTTGGGTAATGTCCTTCATCACGTATCTGTTTTAAACTATCCACAGCCCATTTCACATTGTTGCACTCCAGAGTTAATCAAACTGAACAATGGCCTACAGATCATCAGAGACTGCTCACGTAATCATGTGAAACAACAGCTATCAATTCCTCATTATACAGTTTAGTCTATTTGTGGTACAAGCCCTTTATCAAGGTCCCTGGCCTGGAATCACACCAGCAGTGAACAGTAACATGATTTTAAAACACATGTCTACCAACATCCAGGAACTACTGAGACATAACAGGGTGAGACAAAAGGAATAGACAGGGAAACCCAGAAAACACTGGAATAGTCCTTTAAAGCTTGTAAGGACAACTGTACAGACA